TTCATATGTTGTTGAGGGGCCAAAGAAAGACTTCAGACTAAAATAATCTAATATTCTTCCTATTTTTCTTGGATCGGGCTTTAAAGGGCTAAAGCTGTTTTTGGGGGCTTTTAAAGCTGTTTTTTGTGCTTTTAAAGCTGTTTTTGTGCTTTTAAAACAGTTTTTTAGGACTTTTAAAGACTTCAGACTAAAAAAAATCCAATATTTTTCCTATTTTTCCTACTTTAAAGGGTTAGATCAGGTGTCCACACACCTGCGTGCAGCCAGATCTGTGCGAGCGTCATCCAGGGGTGCAGCGGGCCCTGTTTGGGGGCGCTGCTCTGCAGGGAGGAGGCGATCTCCGACAGGGCCTGCTCCACCCGGCTGGCCGCGATGGAGGTGGCATGAACCGAGCCTGGAAACAGAGCAGAGCGCAGGGTGAGGTAATTTTTATTTTATTTATTTCTTTAATCAGGACAGTGCACATTAACTCATTGACTGCCAGCCATTTTCAGAACAGAGTCCCATAGTGCCGGAGTTTTTTGAGCATTTTGACTGATTTTTCTAGAGCCACAGAATTGTTTGTGCTATGACTATGTAAACACCGAACACACCAAAAGAAAGAGTAGACTCTTTTCTTTCATCAGGAAAAAAAATGTGTTTCTACCTTATTCTGTTCTTCCTGGACTTGCGTCTCACCGGCGACATGTTCTCTCATAGAACCGTTCCCTTTTTCTTATTTGCCTACAGTCTATGCTCATCTCCCATCAAAAGTGGCACTGCCCCCTAGAGGGTCAATTTGTTACTACATACTCTGTCTAGAAGCCCATATTTACGGACAAGCTTTAGCAGATCGTCCCCCAGACACTCTTGTTGAAAAACATAAAAAGACGTCTATAGACGTCTTTGGCAGCCAATGAGTTAATGAACAATCTCATACAGATTGTAAATGAGCCAGATTCTAGCATAGTTGCTAGTTTACATCTGTCGTCCTGAGGCAGGAAGACCAAACAACACTAAATCACAAAATACAAAATCAGTCCAAACACACGTTCAGACAATGACATTACAGAATTAAAATTAATTCAATTAAATTCAATGTTATTTCTATAGCGCCACATCACAACAACAGTTGTCTCACAGCGTTTTCCAAACAGAGAAGCTCCACAGCAAAGCGCAGCAGCTCAAATGTCAAATGAAACCACCATGCGGAGGCGGATGGTTAGTAGCTCCAAACCAACATCTGGATCAAACCTAAACCTCTGGAGTTTCATTTGAAGCTTTTTCTAGTGAAGCCGCTTTTGCTCGTTCCTCAGTCAGAGCGACACCCGTCTGACAGAGATGGAAAACCACTCGGATATTAAAGCTCGGGGAGGAGAGGAAGACGCCGGTGCTGATAAGTGGATTTCAGGAAATGACTAAAGGATGTTTCATTTGTCTAAAGGAAAAAGCTTTTTCTTAGGAGGAAAACGGAGCCGGCCCGATTCAGCACATTTAAAGATTCAGCTCCCTGAATGAATCCTAAAATTTCTTAAATCTTTTGCCAGTTAGGAGTTTTGTGCCTTTCTGAGTGAAAGCCTGGAGCTTTTGTCTCATTCAGGAAGCACTTTCCATTATTCCTGATGAGAATCTGAGGCTGTGGCGTTTGAATGGGACCAACATGGAAGCTATCAGACTCAATAACCAGAGAGAAAAAAGGTGCAGGATTGCTTTTACTTGTGCTTTTTGGGCTTGTAATGAACATTTTATCCATCAGACGTGTGATGGTAACATGAGAAAAACCTGTTGGGAACATTTGTTTCTGTTAATGCAGAATAAGGAGATTCCTAAATGGCTTGGGCGCCTTTCGGGAGGTTGATAAGGAAGCTGCGGCCGTCACTTATGCCTAAATATTCATGCAGGAAGCTGCTGGCTGAACTAAAGGAATGCATTGACTTACATGGGAAACATTTCATCACTGTAAGCTCCGTTTGGTTTGTTTAGATTAAACCAAATCTGTTTCCAAAACAGAAGCTAAGAAAACAGATAAAGCTTCTCCTGAATGCCTCAGATTTACTCATCTAAGACACTTTGGTGAAAAACCTGCTAAAGGATCGGTAGTGACCACACTGGTTTGTTTCATCTCAGTGTGCTCATTGGAAAGCTTTCAAAATAAAAGTCTCCCTTTTAAGTCAGCACTTTCCTTTGCACAGTAAAAACTAGCCTCCTGCAGACGTTGAAGCAGGAAAAGTTCAGTTTAAACTCATCTGAACCTCAGCAGGAAATATCAGGTCAGCGGGGGGGCAAAAACGGATGGAAAAAAGAAGATCAGATGGAGGTTAGATGGTTACTT